GCGCTCACTTGGGGAACGCGTCGAAGCAGTAGGTCTTCTTGGTGTCCGGGAAGGCCACGCGCATGCCGGACGTGAGCGGCGAGTGCAGCACCACCGCGGCGCACTCGTAGCGCGAGGCCAGGTCCACGGTGGGCACCGTGCCGATGCTCTGGCCGTACAGGATGATGCTGTCCGGGCTGATGCCGTACCTGGGGTGCCGGGCGGGTCAGCCGCGCCCACGCCCTCCCGCCGGGCCTCCCTGGCCCGGCCCCACCACAGCCTGGAGGTCGTGAGTGGCGGGAGGAGCCTGGCAAGTCTCCTGCCCTTCCTGGACAGCCACAGGCACACGCTTGACAAGGCTGACCCGGGCCCCACCTCCCCCTCCCCGGGCCCCACATCTGTCAGGCTTTCCTGATTAGAAAGCCCTAGCAGAGCCAGCGCGGTGGCTCACGCCTGTCATCCCAGCACACTGAGAAGCAGAGGCGAGAGGACTGCCTGAGTCTGGGCGTTCGAGACTAGCCTGGGCACCTCGGCGAGATCGCATCTCTACAATACATCAAAAAGTTAGAACAAGCCCCTCGAGTTCCCTCTTGCTCTGGGAGCTTTTCCGTCCTCTCAATAAATCCTGCTTTCTAGAACACAAACTAACAAAAAATTAGCTGGCTATGGTGGCGCATGCCTGTGGTTCCAGCTACTTGGAAGGCTGAGTCAGAAGGGCTGCCTGAGCCTAGCAGGTCAAGGCTGCAGGGGCCGGGCGTGTGCCACTGCACTCCATCCCGGGGGACAGAGTGAGACTCCGGCTCCACAAGGACCAGGTGCAGGGGCTCACGCCTGCAATCTCAGCTCTGGGAGGCGGAGGCGAGAGGACTGTCTGGGCCCAGGGTTCCGAGACCAGCCTGGGCAGGCACATGGGGAGACCTCATCTCTACAATAAATCTAAATTTTAGCCAGGTGTGGTGGCGCATGCCTGCAGTTCCAGCTACGGCTGAGGTGGAAAGATCGCCTGAGGCCAGCAGGTCTCAGCTGCGGGGGCTGAGAGCATGCCACTGCACTCCAGCCTGTGAGACTCCAACTCCAACACAAAAAAGAAAGCCCTTGCTGGCGCAGTAGGGGAGGGGTCTTTCCCGCTGCCTGGGTCGTGAGTGGAGGCATCCGTGTCCCCAGATGTCTCGGCCCAGGCTGGGGCCCCTGGGAGTCCTGGCACCCGTGAGGTGCTGGGTACATCACAGGCCAGTGGTGAGGGCAGGGACTGTGGGAGGTGGGTGCCGCCTTCCCAGTGGAAGAGCCTGGCCACCGTGGTACCACCGACCCCTTCCCCACCCTCAGGACACCGGCATGCAGCCGCTGGCCCAGCTGATCCAGCACCAGCTCCAAGGCCCCATGCCCAGTCCCGACCCCACGTTCTCTCCCACAAGCTCCTGACGCACCCCAGGAGGTGCCCTCCCAGTGGACGGAGTCAGGCAGTCGGCATCTCACCTGGGCAGCTGACACCGCGTCCCCATCCCACCAGCTGCCATCCTTCTCACCACCCCCACTGCTGCAGCCACCAGGATGCCAAGCCACCCGCCCTGTCACCTGCTCCAGGCAGGAGCCCCTCACTGCCACCCGGACAGACACGTCCAACCCGGACGGAGCTGCCCTCACGCCCCGAGCCCTGGCACTGCTCTGGCCTGAGACGCCAGCTCCCATGCTCGCGACTCCCAGCTGGTTTCTGCAGGATGCCAGCAGCAGGATAGAGGGACGCGTGCACAGAGCGCAGAGCCGGGCCGTGGCGGGTGTGACAGCCAGGGCCTCAGGCAGTGGGGCAGGAAGAGGTGCCACAGAAGCTCGGCAGGTGCCCCACACTCTGGGAAGCGCAGGCTGGGTCCCTGTGCCAGGCGGGTGCCAGGGGGCCAGGCTCCCAGGCCTGCAGCAGGGCATGACTGCTTGGTTCTAGAGCAGCCCAGGCGTGGGGCGACCCTCGACACTGCTACGGGCCCCAGCAAGCGTGGGGGTGGGGAGGGGCAGCAGGCAGGGCGGCTGGTGGCCTATCTGGCTCCAGCCCCCCCAGCTATCTGAGGCCACCCGGCTGGCCTGGCCTCACCTGGTGCGCAGCGCCTGCCAGGCGGCGTCCACGTCCGCATACAGGTTCTTTTCGGAGGGCCTGCCTGAGCTGGCGCCGTAGCCCGAGTAGTCGTAGGAGAAGACGTTGCAGTGGATGCGTGTGCCCAGGCCGATGTAGAAGCTGCTCATCTGGCCCAGGTCCACCGCGTTGCCGTGGGAGAAGAGGACCGTGTACCTGGGGGGCGGGGCTGTTCACGTCCCCAGGGCGGGAGGACTCCCGTGCCTGCCACGCCCTCCCGGAGGACTAACAGCCAGCGAGGGGAGCGCAACAGGGACAGCCCCGCCCATCTCCAAGGTGGCCCCACAGGGAAGGGATGGGGCTGGCAGGGGGACAGGCCACAGGTCATGCGGCGGATCCTCCACCTGTGTGGTCGGCAGTGGAGCCTGGGTCTCCCCGTGAAGGGGGACACTGAGACCATCGGTCTCGCTCTCAGGATGCTGCTGCAGCCTCGCCTGCTCGAGCCCTTCCTGTGGCCTTCCAGCGGCAGGGCCTGGGCAGCCCCAGGACGACAAGGGGACAGGCCCACCGTCCTAACCCTCCCAGGGGAGGTGGCGGCTCTGCTGAGGGGCTGCCTGCCCCTCCTGGAAGGATCCCTTCCTGCCGGGGGCAACTGTCCCAGCCCTGTCCCCACGAAGCAGAGCCACTCCTGCTGGGCCATGCGGCGCTTCCAGCCCTTCTGCTGCGTTCCGTGGCCATCCTGCGAGGCTGTCACGCCTCAGGACAGGAGCTGCCCAGGCCACACCTCGAGCAGGCGGCCACGCGTCCCCTGGACCGCTCCCTCCAGTGCCCCAGGCCCCTCCCAGCCAGTAGAGGTAAACGCGCCCTTTGGACTGGGTTGGGGCATCTGAGTCCCGGCTGGCACGCAGAGTGGGCACACCCCGAAGTGCAGGGCGGTGCCTCTACCTGGAAGGACAGCCATGGAAAGACGGCAGCGAGACAGCCAGGCCCCTACCCCGCCGCGTGGGGCACCTCCCTGAGCCTGGGTCCTCATCCACAGCAGGGCTGAGGCCTCCAGACTGGGCTGGGTGGGAGGCTCAGGCCTCACTGGGCCCAGGGGAGCAAGCCTGTTCACACCCAGGTCCCGGCCACCCCTCTGGCAAGATGACAGGCTGACCAGGCCACCCGCGCCCTCCAGCTTGACGGCCCTCCAGTGCCCACCAAGCACCCAGGGAGGCGATGTCCCAGGGTGCGCGCCCCGCAGCCCTGCGGCTCACCTGGCACCGGGCACGCAGCGCACGTACATGCAGGAGACACGGTTCCCACGGGCGCTCTTGGTCACGAAGACCTCCACAGTGTCCAGCTCGCGCTGGCTGTACTGGAAGTCCGCGCGCTCTGTCAGGTGGAGCTTCCAGCGCCCGAGTGCGCCCGAGGACACCCGCAGAGCCCCCGAGGGCGCAGCGCCAGCCCCACCAGGCCCAGGCTCAGGCACCAGCGAGTAGGTGGGCTCTGGCGGCAGGAAGGCGAGCTTGGCGGCGATGCGGCCGGGGCAGGGTGGGCAGCAGAAGAGACAGCAGAGCTCGCTCAGCGACAGCCCGTTCATGGCGTGCGCCGGGCCCGCGCTGGGCCTCCCCCACAGTCCCCGCGGATGACACCGCCCGGCGTGGCCCAGCAGGATGTTGAGGGTGCTCCGAGTCGTGGGCAGGGGGGTGGGCGCCCCCCGGCCACCGCCCCAGACGACAGCCCCCTCAGGAGGCCACAGCCCGGCCCCATCGCGGTCCAAGTCGAGCCCCCAGGAGCCTCACTGCCACAGGTGTCCACATCAAGTAGCGGGAAGCCCTGTGGGAAAACAGAACACGGGGTCCAGGGTTCCTGGGGGGGCCTGAGCACAACCTTCCCTCTTCACCCCCAGCCAGCCCCATCCAGCGAGAGAGCCTCGCCTCTGCCTCCAGGGCCCGGCCCAGCCCAGCCCCCACGTGCAGCCCCTGCTCCGAGTCCAGGAAAACTGTCTCGCAAGCCTCAGTCCACGCTGCAGCTACACTCTCCCCAGACTAACAGCCACCTCGGGTGACAGGCGGCCGAGGCAGGACGATCTGGACCGAAAGGACCCCAGAGAGCATCAGCCAGGAGGAAGTCCAACAACAGAAGCTCTGGAAACAAAAGCAGGATGCATCTCTGCCCAGGCAGCAGGGACAATGCAGGGACAATGGCCCTGGCCTGTGCTTGGGGCCCTGGGGCAGCGGCGGAGACCAGGGAACCTGGGAGGGGCCGGGAGGCTGGGCTCCCTCCTCCAGCGCTGACTTGGCAGGTCCAGAACCTCGGGCCAGTCGCTGGCCCGCCCTGGCCTCAGAGTCCTTATCTGTAAAAGGGGACACCACCACCTCCCAGGAGGCGGCGAGAGGAGGGGGGTTACAGGGGGCCGTCTGGAGTGGTGCCGGCGCACTTCAGTCATGAAACACATCGATCAACCAGAGTGAAGTTGCCACAGCGACCACAACCGTGTGTGAGCTGCCCACACCAGACACCAGGAGGACACAGATCTGAGGGACGCCCTGCACGGTGACCACTCCTCAGAGACCAGAGTGAGGCAGATGCCCGCGTGCTCGGGGTCACAGAACATGAAGACCCGCTCAGCAGCAGCCCATTCATGGCACACACAGGCCTGGAGATGTGGATCAGAGGCGCCCGCAAACACAGAGACACACGCGGTACACACACAGCCACAGGCCCCCGACAGTGCGTGGGACACCCTTGCCACCACGGAGCAGTTTCAGGGCCAGCAACACACCTGCTCCCTCAGGAGACGCGAGGCTGGGAAGCGGGGAGTCACGGGTGCGGGGCACACGGGGAGGAGGGAGCTGTGAGCACAGGCGGGACCAGGACGCACCCAGGGCCCGAGTTTCAGGCAGACGCGACCTCCCAGGCCAGCACTTTTCAGAGGGGACAGCCCGTCACACTGGTCCTGGTTCCCAAATGGAGACACTTGTCAGTGTCTGGGGACAGTCTGAGTTGACACAACTAGGTGTTCCTGGCATGGGTGGGGTGGAAGCCAGGCTCCTGCCGTTCCCAGGACGCTCACCCCAGAGAACGATGTGCCCCAGTGTCCAGTATAAAGGTGGACATCAGTTTCAACATATCCTCAAGGTTCCAGGCCCCCAGTTGGTGACGCTGGGCTGGTACTGGGGGCCTGGAAGGGTGTGGAGAACAGCTGGCATCCCAAGGAGTTCTGAGAGCCCAGTGGGCAGAAAAAGGCCCTGGAAGCCCCGGAGAATGAGGGGGCACCCCAGGGCGCACACAGCCTCCCAACCAAGTCAGAAACACGGGTGCCATCCTTGACACCCCACCCCCACGCTCCAGACCCAGTGTAGTCAGTCTATGGCCAGGGTCCCTGGCCCCACCTGCCCCTCTCACCTCCACCAGGACTGCAACCACCCACCTGGGATGTGTTCTCGCCCCCCCCCAGCAGCCTAGCGCCACTGCCCGCCACCCTCAGGGTCAAGAGCAGCCTGCCAGCTCACAGCCCACTCAGGCTACCGCTCCAGATCACAACGCCCACCCCGCTGCACAGTTCCCCTGCTGGGGACCCCTCCCCAGCCCACCCACCCTTCCCATCTCACACCCAACGTGCTCAGACTCCTCACCCCGGGCAGGACCCCAAGTGTGCAAACGGTTACACAGCTCATATTCCAGTCTTTAACTGGGTCCCCAGCCCCAAACCAGAAACACCGTGAGGGCAGACCCGGACTGCTTCTGCCCGATCACCAAAGCCCCAGGAGGAGCACGGGCAGCCTCGGGCCTGCTGGCTCTGACAAGGAAGGGGCAGTCTCCTCTCAGACCACAGGCACCGGACGCTCCCCTGTGTCACTCATGGGGGCCGACTGGGGAGCACACACCCAGATGCCTCGCTTGCTGGGCCCACCCCCGACACCCCGAACCCATCGACAAGCACCGCACTGGGCACTCCCCTGCGGGCCAACAAGCGACCAAGCGACGCAGATGCTGTGAGCTGACCTACATACAGCAGAAGGAGATGGTACTTCACCCAGCCGGCCGGGGGGCAAAGTGGCGCGGAGGAAGGCGCGGTCTGAAGGGTGCAGACAGAGTGGCCGGTGACAGGGCCCGGCACAGACGCGAGTCCGAGCAAAACCCAAATGCGAAAGAGAGTCTCAGGAATCGGGAGAAAGAGGGTGGCAGAAGGGTCCCGGGGGCCGGGCCGAGGCTTCATGCTGGGGGACATGGGGAGCCACGGAGGAGGCCTGAGCAGGGGACGGCCAGCATAGGGTGAG